TAGTACGAATAGGGTGGGTTATCTTCCTCCATCCAATTCCCAGGCAAGGGACTGTCCAAGTTGAAGATGTGATGTTCTGGTTTGGATTCATCATCCACACTATCAAAACCATCCACCTGTGGATTTGGAAGCCAGAGGAAAAAAGATCAGAGAGGAGATAAGAAGGCTCATTTCACTTTCATGGGCCTTTGTGCCCTCTTTCATCCGTCAAATGTTTAGAGAGTCTTATTCATCAACATGCCGCCACCACCACCTACATCATTTTATTTCTTAAATAAGACTGAAATGTCCACACCATGTCAGATTTAATGAAGACTGGGCATTTGGCCATGTTCTACCAAAGTTAGCTCCTTCAGCAAAGGCACCCAAACTCTACCACATAAAATATTTGGGCAGTGCTATCCTTCACTTGGTCTCAAACGCTGAAGGCTTCCCAGCCCTTCCCTTCCCTTCCCAAATAATCACAACGTTGCTTTGGTAGCAGCACTTACATGCTCCAAGAACAGATGCAACTCTGGATGGCTGGCAGGGTGGACTGTTGCTTCGAAGAGAGGTAAGAAAATGTTCTCCAGCATCTCCTGGAAGTTGGCCAGCTGCTTCTTTGTCTTGTATACATCACTGTTGGAAGCCAAGATGTAAGGGCACGGTTGTTATTTGCTGGGACCTAAAATGTTGGCTGCCCCTCCCCCCACTCCACGCAGTTTACAGGTCTTTGATAAGTTCATTCCCCACAACTCATTCTATATTATATTGAGATCTATCGTGAACTGTGGTGTGACTGGAAATCCCACATCCCTGATTCTCCAGAAAGCCAGAAGAGCAGCTACAGTGGCCCTGGTTCAAATCCCATCTCTCCCACATAAATGTAAAGTGGCATTAAGGTAAGCCACAACCTATTCAGATTCAAACATCACAGGTGCAAGACAGGTAATACAACACTGGGCTCATCAAGGACACACGTTAGTGAAAAAACTGAGTTTTAAGAATTGACATTAACAACACTGAATGCAGGCTGGATAGCTCAGTGGTTTATTTAGATAGCTGGCTGCAGAGCTAGAAATTGGGAGTTTGATTCCCCACTATGCCTCCGGAGAGTACAGCCAGCCTGTGTGGCCTTGGGCAAACTGCACAGTCCCAGGGCACTCCTAGGAGGAGGGAAAACCACACCACTTCTGAGAATTCTTTATCTGAAAAACCATGGAAAGGGTTGCTATAAGTGAGAAATGACTTGACAGCTAATGATGAACAACACTGGAAGTAACCTGTATGTTTTTCTAGGATAAGCGAATGGTAAACCACTTCTGAGAATTCTTTATCTGAAAAACCATGCAAAGGGTTGCTATAAGTGAGAAATGACTTGACAGCTAATGATGAACAACACTGGAAGTAACCTGTATGTTTTTCAATACTAGGATAAGCAACAGCTGGAAGCTATGTAAAAGATAGACTTAAACTCAGGAATTATCACTGGTGCCTAGAGCAATGAAGTAGTTTGGAACACACATATACTAGTGTCTGCTCTGAACAGTTTAATTATTCAAGATATGCCAGAATATTGTAAAGAACAAGAATACAGTCTCTCACCAACTTGTTCTTCTATGTATCTTTTCTGGAATCTAGCAAGACTGAAAACTACTTTTAGATTAAAATCTATATATTCAGAGTTTGACTAGAACACCATGGATGTAACTTGGGCAATTCTGTAAGGATGAAGAACTTGATCTAAAACATTAGGGGGGGGCATGACCATAGACTAGTGGTTCTTAACCTGGGCGATATTGCTCCCCCCAGAGGGTAGGGGAGCGATGGAACAAAAAGGGACAATGTGGGGGTGAAGGAACAGAAGGGGGGCAATAGGAGGTGATGGAGCTACCGCGCTGTCACCGCCATTGAGGAAGTTATCGTCGCCCCCCCCATGCCACCAGATCCAGAGCAGCTGGTGGATGTGGTGTTGCTGGCGCCCCTGCCGCCACCATTAAGGAAATTATCATCACCCCCCTCTCCACGGCGGATACAGCCCAAAACATCCAAATGGTGTTTTATTATTAATTAATTAATTCAATTATTCAATTATTCAATGGTCCCACATTAATAAACCCTGTTCTAAAGCATTCCAAGTGTTACCGTCATTATCCAAAGCATTCTGTACAAGACTTTCTGCCTTATGACAGGCCCGACAATTTGTCCACTTAGTTCAGTATTATCTACTGCTGTGTCTGGCAAAAGCTCTCCAGGATCTCAAAATGAAACCTTCTGAATCACTTAGTACATGGTACTTTTATAGCTTGCAATGCTCTCCTTCTCCTTTGAAGAAACTGCAGCTTGTTCTAGTCTAGCTGGGTCTTTTGAAGATCTCAACATGTTGCACTTCATTAACATTAACATGTCTCTTTTACTTTGTGTTGGTTTGTTCAAACAGAAGAGTTTGTATGCACTTCCCCCAGTGAGCAAAGCAGGTGTTCAGCTTAGAATATGCAACCCTATTTAGCATTGCTTGCAACCTGTGTTGATAATGTAGCTGGGCAGCTAAGCTTCAAGCATGCTTTCCTGCTAGGCTAGGATTACAAGCACAGCTAAAGCTGAACATACAGCTCTAACAACTGAGTGCTGAGCAGTCTTCTAAATTTCTTAAGTGCTGTTTACTCCCCTGGCTATAAAAAAAAGCACTGAAGACTGTTATTTCTTTAAAAGTGTACTAGCTGAAGAATAAATTGATGTGCGGATATAATATCCAGCTTACTTTTTTACATTAATCTGGGCTCAAGAGCATCTTATGAGTTTGGTTTACCTTTTTCAGTCACCACCACATCAGAAAATACATCTACAAGCCTCAACAGGTGTGTTTGAGACACAGCCTCAGTGAGCTCAATGGGAGCTAGACCCGAATGCATGGTTTTGGATTGTTAAAGCAGCAGCAACCGCACCTATAAGGTAAGGTGCATTTACAGACTAGTCTTAAGCAAGTTCTCTGAGGTTGCATGGGATTTGTTCTCAGGTATTCCAGGGCTAGGCAGCTTTGGTATATCCCCAGCAAATTTTTCCCAATGAAGAACCAACAGTGACTACGTCCACTTCTGGTCTGAGAAAGAAAATGGAAATGCCACTTCCCCATGCAAAGCCTATCTTTCATTAGAAGACAACTGCTGCTCCTAGACTGCTGCTCCTAGATGCTTCCAGGTAAAATTCTGTTTTGCTCATTAAAGAAATTTAAATTGAAAAAAATCTGGAGCAAAGATGTGGTTCAGGGATGTCTGAAATCCACAAAAAAGTGAGGACGCTACATGTGGCCCAGGTGTTGCCCAGCTCTGATATAGCTTGCATTTAGAACAGCTATTTGTATCTGCCTCATACACTGTTTCCAGCATTCCTCTCAAACTGGACACTGAAGGCTCAAATAAGACATGCTGCTTTTAGGAGACTATTGCACAGTCTGAATGCCAGAGCCAAAAAGCCCCTGTCCTTCATACTGACTCCAGGTTCTGCTACCTGTGTGGGTCAGAAGACAACCTCAGGAGGACAGCAAGGTTTTTCTCTGGCACTGAACATTTATTTGGGTTAACTTTCATACTTCATGTTCATCTTGCATATTGGGCTGATATGCAGTTAACAATACAGCTCTTAGTACAGTGGTGCCTCGCTTGACGACGATAATCCATTCCAGCAAAATCGCTGTACAATGAAATCATCGTCAAGCAAAAGTAAAAAACCCATTGAAATGCATTGAAAACCATTCAATGTGTTCCAATGGGCGAAATACCTCACCATCCAGCAAAAATCCTCCACAGGGCGGCCATTTTCTGGTGCCTGTATAGCGAGGAATCTGTCCTTAACACAGCATTTTGAGAGCTGCCAATCAGCTGCTTTTTAGATTATTGTTTAGCAAAAAATCGGTTCCCGAAGCAGGGAACTGATTGGCGTCAAGTGGATTTTCCCTATTTAAACATTGATTTGCAATCGCAAAAGTGATCACAAAAACCTGATTGTTAAGCAGATTCGTTGTGGAGTGGGGTAATTGTTAAGCGGGGTACCACTTAGGCAATTTCTCTCTAACTCAAGAGGTCATTGAAAAAGAAACAATAATAGCAGTTATTTTTGTCCTCTGCATGACTAGTTTTGCACATTCACAGAAATACCAAAGCGAGCGATTCACAGAGACCACGAAGAACATTTGTTTTTACAAAGGAACAGCCATCCTTCAAAAGAACCCGGGCCTTTGAAAGGTCTTCTTTTCCCATAATGCAAGGAAGCAGTACTCACAAGAGACGAGGCACCTGTACCAGCCAGCGCACGTTGTTGGAATGCACCTTGTGCATCACAGCCCACTTGGCCAGCTTGTCCCATTCGTCTCGTGCCCGACCATAGATGGAGAGCCGCAGCTCTGCATTCTGATACTTGCTCTCTTCTAGGTCAGACATCACCTCCTGCCAGAAAAGAAGAGGCTCATCAGTCTCTGAAGAGGGAGAGGCTCAGAAAGAGGCACCAAGTATTCTAGTGAAATGAACACAGGCAAACCCTTCTGAGACACAGAAAATAATGCATCGCCCTGCAGTTCTTTGCTCTGGTTTCCTACCAGTCCCTTTAAAAGCCTCTGTTCTTTTCCAAAACAACAACTCTCTTTCTTTGGACGAGGGCAAAGAACCTCTGCCCCTTCAGGTGTCTTGGTGGGCTACTTCCACCAGTCCCATCCAGTATGGCTACACTATCTGGAGAGACAAAAGGCCCCCTCAATTCTTCTCAAGGCAGATGCATCTCAGATTCCAGAACTGCTAGAAGTAAAAACAAAGGGAAAGCTTCTAATTAACCCCATATTCTCTTTGAAATGAAAGGCAAAGCTGCAAGTCCACTGTTCTGTGAATGAAGAATCAGAGGGAAATATGACTGCGCTGCAAGTCTTCATCTCCCCTGCTCAAGCACTGAAGCTGGAACCAGACAAAAATTCGGCCACCCTGAGCACATGAGCTCGTTCTAAAAACACATGAAAACCAGTCCTCCCGATGGAGAGGAAATGTTTACAAGCAGAGAGAAAATACTCTTTTAAAGGCTCAGAACGTAGAAGTGGGCTGGGGATTGTACTCTGTAAGCCTGGAGGAGGCTGCTGCAAAAGGTCCAGCTAGCCAACCCAGCTTGACCCGGACATCAGTGGGCTACAACCATGTCTTCTTTTGAAAATGTGAAGTGACCAGAAGAGCATTTCTTGTTTTCATTAAAGTCCATTTCAGATCTTTAACAAAGCAGTTGGGCCGAACAGACTGGATGTGACCAATTTTCACCCATCTGTGAGGTTCCTGCAAGATGACCGCCTTTTTTTAAAAAAACCTGTCTTTGCTGTTCCTTGTCTCCTTTTTGCTTTCCGGGGTTGGGGAATCTGGGAGAGGGTCCCTGGGAGCCCTGCTGAGCTGCGTGTGGCCTATAAGTCAAACAGATCCCATCCCTGCCTTAAACCTTGTGGACCTTGGCAGTTTACCTTCTGCTCCTTTACTTCATCATCATACAGCAGCTTGCACACCATTTACTAGTGTTAACAAGCGAAATATGAAGAACAGATATGCCTAGTATATTGGATATCTCAGTGGTTTAGGTAATCTGGCTGTGGAGCCAGAAATAGGGAGTTGGATTCTCCACTGTGCCTCTCTGGTAGGACTCAAGAGGGTCAACTTCCAGCTCTGCAGTTTTAAGGCCATGACGAACACTTTGGCTTTGAACAAGATTTTCAAGCTATGTGGGAAGGGAGATCAAGCAACTCTCACCTTGATGATATGGGCAAAGTACTTCCCAGAGACTCTGTTATCTGTCTTGATGAAAATCTCTCGCAGGACAGACTCACCAATAGGATTGTATTTGGCATTGAATTTATCAAAGCGATGGAAAGTGTTACGATCCTATACAGAGAAAGTGAACCAACAAAGGCGACAGCAATTAGGTAAGTTGAACAACAAAAGATTGTAATTGTTTTTCCCCACTTTCGATCCTTTAATCAGAGCTGCCCCTTATGGCCTCCATAAGACCCTGGAAGTTCCTAAAATTGCTGCCGTCTATTGAGCATTTTCTTCCTTTATGATAAAACTTTTTAATCATATTTCCTTTATGATAAAATTCACCATCAGAATTAGAGATGGGATATTCGTATTGGTAGACAAATATCCTAGACCCAGGTGGCCAGTATCCCCAGTCCCGCCTCCCTGAACTGATTCATCAACTTGCAGGTCACGGCACAGCGCACACAGCTGGCCTCTTGCTCACTGTGCCAATTTTGGACAAAGCCCAGCTGGTGCTGCTCCGCTTTCCTGTTCTTCTGGCCATTCAGCAGCCAAGCGGAGAAAAATTCTGCCCTGCCCCCTAGCTGGAGGGGTCAAAAGAGCAGGAAGTGCCAGCTGGGCTTTCTCTGAGATAGGCGCAACAAGCAGGATGCAGGCTCTGCATGCTGTACCACAACCAGTAAGTGAATGGGTTGATTCGGCGAGGTGCGTCTCAGGATCCTGGCCACCTGAGTCCGGTATATTCATATTAGTCTATGAATATCCCATCTCTAATGAGAATATCTCTTTCTGATAAAAAATGGCTGAACTATAGATGGTCTCCACTAGAGATCTTAGCATGGGGAAAGTTACTCCTTTGGACTACAGCTCTCAGTAGCTCTCTACCACTGTAGGCATGGCCATGTTGGCTGAGGATGCTGGGAATGGCTGTTCCAAAAAAGGAACTCTTCCAAGCTCTGAGACAGAGAGAGAATTCTGATTGGGGATGAATCAGGACTACCTGAAAGCTCCATAGCATGATCATATGGAGCAACCAGTATGTGGCTTGATAGGTTTGGGACGTAAAGGGAAGGCCTTTATCAACCAATCACATTGCAGATGAGGAAAACACTCCCAAACAGCAGCTTGTAACCATCTTTCCAAGGCATAGCTCTATTCTCTTTCACAGAGGTATTTGACATACCGCATGGACATCGAGTGTGTCTACACTGAGATCGTAAGCTGTGAGATTCATAGTCTCAAAGACTTCTTTAAGAGTTTGCTCCTTGCCCTTCTCCACATGGACAATCTCATCCAGGTGCTTCTTCATAGCCCGCTTGATGAATCGCAGCAGATGCTTCTGGTTCATGCAAGATGATGCATGAATGTGTGTATCCACCTGTGTAAGAGATTAGAAGGTAAGAGTATAAAGCTGAAGAATCAGAGTTCAAATCCTACCTTAATTATGAATTTGCTGCCATTAGGATGAGCCACAATCTCTTAGGCCATCACAGTGGGTAAACTCAGAACCTGGAGCTAAATCCGGCCCTCTCGTGGTTCCACAGATGTTGAAGTCTTTCACCATGACATCATCATCTAATAGTTTTCAACCTTTTCTACAGTTCTTTTCTTCATTCTGAAAAACTAAAATCTTTCAAAAGTGGTTCCCATCTATGATGTAAACACTTGTCATTCAAACGTATTGCCACCTTAGTTTACTGGAAATACTCAAATGGAAACCAGTTTTCGCCCATGAAGCCCACTGTAGTACCATAATCAACATACAAAAACAAGCCTTTGAAAAAGATCACCCCAACATAGAGAGAAGCTTGCATCTCTTTCAAACCTGCCACTGCTTCCCTTGGATTTCAGAGGCCAGGCATTGTTAGGAATACAGTGGCCAAAGATTCTGCAGTATGCGCTAGGATTTTCTGACTTCTAAGTCATGTCCCACTAATACCATCTGCAAAAGGAACTGCAGGCACGTATTCCCAAATACAGAACGGTGGTACCTTCCGGATATTGTAGAAGTCACGATGTGGCACTCTTTTCTGGGCTGCCAGCTCCTTCATTTCATTGAGCAGGACATGCATCTGGAACTTTGAGCTCAGGTATTGCAGTCTTCTGTAGCAGAAGGATTTTCTGGCAAAAGGTGAGAAAGGAACTAATTTAGCTTCACTTATATCTGATCAGATCCTGTCAACATAGTTGACCCATGCTGAAAATCATGAATTCTGAGTTCTAACATCTACCCCTGAAGCTGACTCCGGCAATTGTTCTAGTCAAATAAGACCATCTGCCTTTAAGAATGTAAATAAGGGAGAACTGCTAGGTACTATTTTCCAAAGACAGAATTTGGGGAAAACAGAAGATTCCATAATATCAGAATATATTGTTCAACTTTACACAGTTGAAAATGGATAAACGACAGGCTGCAGAGAAATTCAAAAGTAAGGCATGACTGATTCAGTTACTGACTTATAGTTGAGAAAGTATACCATATCTCATTTTGAAGATGCAGAATAAGGATAATTATTCCAATAAGGAGTAATTATCAGAACTGTATATTTCTTTTGTTGCTATGTGCAACGAAGTATCTTCCAAATCACAGTGGCCCTAACGGAATTTTTGAAATATGTGAGATGTTCAGGGAGCATTTTCCATAGCCACCCTTCAGGAGACTTCTAAGACCAAGCAAGAATTGGGACTGAGGTTTCCCAAATCCTAGTTCAACACATTACCCACTTCGCTACCTTGGTTCTCATGCATTTAATCAACCCTCTAAATATAAAGCAGTTGATGCTAGCGGACACTACAAAATTTTACCATGTGAATCAGTTCTGTATGATAAATACCAGATTTATAATCCCTCCTACTTGAAAGTAAGCCTTGTAAGATTTAGCAAAATCCCCACAGGGAAAGAGAACCTGACAATCTTTGTTCTGACATATACAAATTGAACAATTGAGAGGGAAAAATGCAATACTCACATGGGGCCATTGATGATCAGAGCCATTAGAACATTCATGTCAGCAATAAATTCCTGCAGGTCAGGGTAAGGCAAGTCCAGTTCTGTAGTCCTTTAGAAAAGGAAACAGATCAGGTCAGGCAATGGACCCAGTCAATGGACCCCTCAGCCCTGCTAACAGCAAGCAAAAAAGAAAAGAAAAAAGGAGAGCTACGTCTAATCATTAGACTCAGGCAGAAAGGTTCTGGCCTTGCAGATGCTGTTGGACTACAACTCCCATGATCCTTCACCACTGACTATGCTTGCTAGGAATGGGATTCCAACAACATCTGGAGAGCCACACAGTCCCCATTCTGGACTAGACAACAAAGGACAAAAGATTTTATCTAAAAGAAAAAAAAACTGATGAACAAGATACAGCATCCAGTATTACTGCCCATTGTCCCAAATTAGATTACCAGAAGGCTAAGTTCCAAACTAGATTGGCTCTAGTAATAGGGATATAATAGCCTCTACATTTGACAGAGTAGAAATCAATTTCCTAATAATTTTCACTTTCTTATAAAGAAAAATGCAGATATTGAAAACTTGTAGGTTCTCCCTGGCAAAAGGTCCTGTTCTTTCTTGCATGTACTTTTCCTGCTAATGCAGTACTTCAGAAAGAATTCTGAATTTTGCCAACAAAGGGTTTAATGCTTTGATGAGGTTTTGCATTTGGAGTACACCAAGATTCAAGACTATCCTTTTAAAAAAAATCTATATACAGCCAATGAAAAGAATAATCAAAGCATTGTGGACTGCAATGCCATTTACTTTTACACCAGACCCAAGCACAGCTATGAGTGCGGTGTGCCAGGGCCAGGATAGAGGTATCACTAGAAAAGGGTGAACAAACTGCAGCTGAATCCAGACAAGGTACATGTGGTAACTGCTGGGAGCATCCTGAGATGTAAGGAAAAAATGAGGCTGCCTTTCTACATGGGGATTACACTGCTTTCTCAAAGCTATGTAAGAACATCTTCTGTTGTTTTCTTCTTGCCTCCCGAGTGTAGGTGGAAACCAGGGAAGAAAGTATGCTGTTTACAGTGATATGGGCAACACTCATTGCCAGACATCCTGTGTGGAAGTATCACAAGTCAGGTATTAAATTTATTACAGGGCATAACACAAGACAAAGTTTGAATCAGTAAGCCTCCATCAGGATAGTTAGAGAGAGAGAGAGAGAGAAAGCCTCCATCAGGATTGTTAGAGTGTGTTTGTGTGTGATGGAGGGCACATGCCACCCTGACAGATATTCAGGCTAAAAACATCTAGGATACCCAGGTTCTGGCAGAAGTCAGGAATTTGCCTAGTTATAGACATGTATGTGTATGAACACATGGCCTACCTGTTCTGATCCAGATTTGCTCTGTTCCCAAGGAATATCCTATCTTAAACTACTGATAGAGAACCAAGACTTCTGTTTCCAACAAAGTATTTTTACACATGGTTGTTGTGGGTTTTTCAGGCTCTTTGGCCATGTTCTGAAGAGCCCGAAAAAACCCACAACAACCATCAAATCCCGGCCGTGATAGCCTTTGAGGATAAATTTTTATACACATTGCAGGTATTTCCCCTTACTTGTCTTTGACATCCTGCTTGGTGTACACATGAACAACTCCGTTGACCATCTTGAGGCCAAACCCTAGGTCTCCAGGCATTGATTCTGGGTCACACTTCTCATAAGGATGCTGATCAGTGAATGGTGGATGCACTGGAGCATCTGCAAAACAGCAAGGAATGAATGACAATTTGCATGTCTACCAGTTCTTCATGGCTGAACCCGTGCAGACTGTTCAAACATGGAGAGATCACCCACTGGCTCTTGTGCTTGGCCCAGTCCTGCCTACTCCAAGCGACAAGTAAAATGCAGAATGCTACAAAGGCTGCCACTGGTCTTAAGGGAAGAGGGGAACTGCCTGAGAGTGCATGGAGATTTCTCCCTATCCATGTTACCTGGTTGGGTTTACTAGTGTTTCATCAAGACTGTGGTCACCATGTAAATAACCAATGCCCAATTTAAATCTTCCTCCTATTCCTATATATCTCTTTGAATTCCCATTCACTGGAATAACAGACTCTATCTGTTCCACCACCTATGCCCACATTCAGACATCACCTGCAGCCACAGGGGTCTCAGGGATCTCCTCATACATCCTGGGGGCCAAGGGCTTTTCTGACAGATCCTGCAGGAAGCGAGCTGTAGTCTTGCAGAAACTTTGCAGAGAAAGCCCCATGTACTTCTCCCGAATGAACAAGGCCTTCACCACACTTTTGGCAGCATCCAACAGGTCCGTGAATGGCACCTGAGGGGGCAGAAGAGACATTAGTTGGCTCCTGTCACAACATCATTCATAGGCCAGGAGACAAAAGAACCAAAATGATAGCGATAACAAAATTAAAACATATGGCTATGAATCATGTATTCAATGAAGAAAATATAAAAGTAGAAATTTCAGCAAACATGTACAGGTACAAAATGATGACTGACCCCATTCAAATTAAATGAGAGTTCAAAATAGGGTTGAAGAGGCTTCTGGCAACGCCACAGATTGGTCATTCTGAAGTGGGTTTTCTTTTTTTTGAGGGGGGGGACTACAACTTCCAAAATGTTCCACCAGCATGATAGCCTTTAAGAACTTTAGTCCAGAGAGGTAATTTGGCCCACATTCTGAGACATCCCTGTCCTTCCATAGCAAACCTGCCCTACTCCCCCAGGGCTTATTTCACAATGTACTACGCAGGGCCTGCTAAAGAGGCAGGTCCTTGGTCTTGGCATAAGAAGAAGCTTTTCTCACTCCACACCAATGCCCACCAAGATCATGGTAGCAGAATGAGAACAGCAACCTTCTCCTGGCAGCCCAGCAGATGTCTGTTAGATGGGCTATAAGGAGACGTGGGGACAAGTTTATCAGCAGACTCCATTAGGTTGTTAAGACATTTTTAATGGAAAATTCCTATGCTAGAACTTCTTGTTGTTTAGTCGTTAAATCGTGTCCGACTGTTCATGACCCCATAGACCAGAGCATGCCAGGCCCTCCTGTCTTCCATTATCTCCCGAAGTTTGGTCAAATTCATGATGGTAGCTTCGATGACACTATCCAACCATCTTGTCCTCTGTTGTCCCCTTCTCTTCTTGCCTGCACATTTTCCCAACATCAGGGATTTTCCAGGGCATCTTCTCTTCTCAAGATGGCCAAAGTACTGGAGCCTCAGCTATAGGATCTGTCCTTCCAGTGAGCACCCAGGGTTGATTTCCTTCACAGTTTATTGGTTTGTTCTACTTGCAGTCCAGGGGACTCTCAAGAGTCTCCCCCAGCATCACAATTCAAAAGCATCAATTTTTCAGCAGTCAGCCTTTTTTATGATCCAGCTCTCACTTCCATAAATCACTACAGGAAAAACCATAACTTTGACTATGCAGACCTTTATCGGAAAGGTGATGTCTCTGCTTTTTAAGATGCTGTCTAGGTTTGTCATCACTTTCCTCCCAAGAAGCAGGGGTCTTTTAATTTAGGGGCTGCTGTCTCCATCTGCAGTGATCATGGAGCCCAAGAAAGTAAAATCTGTCACTGTCTCCCTATCTTCCCCTTCTATTTCCCAGGAGGTGATGGGACCAGTGGCCATGATCTTAGTTTTTTTGATGTTGAGCTTCAGATCATTTTTTGCGCTCTCCTCTTTCACCCTCATTACAAGGTTCTTTAATTCTTCCTCACTTTCTGCCATCAGAGTGGTATCATCTACATATCGAAGGTTGTTGATATTTCTTCCGGCAATCTTAATTCCGGTTTGGGATTTCTCCAGTCCAGCCTTCCGCATGATGTATTCTGCATATAAGTTAAATAAGCTGGGGGACAATATACAGCCTTGTTGTACTCCTTTCCCAATTTTGAACCAATCAGTTGTTCCATATCAAGTTCTAACTGTTGCTTCCTGTCCCACGTATAGGTTTCTCAGGAGGTAGATAAGGTGGTGAGGCACTCCCATTTCTTTAAGGACTTGCCATAGTTTGCTGTGGTCCACACATTCAAAGGCTTTTGCGTAGTCAATGAAGCGGAAGTAGATGTTTTTCTGGAAATCTCTGGCTTTCTCCATAATCCAGCGCAGGTTAGCAATGTGGTCTGTCTCTAGTTCCTCTTCACCTTTGAAATCCTAGAAACTAGGGGTGACATTTTTGGGTTCTCTGGACTACAGCTAATGTAATTCTCCATTCTGAGAGTACCTTGCAGACATCTTACAATGAATGTGATGCACCTGGGAAAAAGGCCTACACTGGAAGGCTTTCAGGCTTACTTGGGACAAGTTCTACCCAAGTGTCGTGCTCTGAAAGAAGGCACCCAGCTAGCCCTAGGGCAGGAACACTTGGACACAGCTTGGCCTAGCTAAGACTCAAAGCCTTCTAGATCAGACCTTTCCCCTGAATTTTTTCAAGCTCTCTAGAATGGAATTTAGTGTATCTCACTAAACTGCAAATCACAGGATTCTGTTGGCCAAAACCAAAGTGGTCTCCAACTGTGGCTGCCACTGTGTAATGCAGATATACTCTCTGCCTCTTGATTTCTGTGTTCTGGGTTCACTAAAGCAGGGAAAAAAGCAGGGAAAGATGGATGTGAGGCGAGTTCCTGAGCAAGTTAACCTTACCCCACATGTCTCTTCTCCAGAAATAGTGACTCTCTGGAATTCCCTCTCTAGAAGTACATCTCGTTCTTTGGGGAGATGGTCCACCAGGTCTTCACTCTGCTCCTTAAACAGTCTGTATGTAGGGAAGGGGGAAAAGGTAAAGGAGCAACAGGAAGTGATAAATTGGGCTCAGCCCACTTCCTGTCCTGCTACACAAAGTACTCTTTTGTAAACAGGCACATGAAGAAATCAAAGCAGAACACACTGCACACAAACACATGCAACACTGGGAACTCTAGGCCTCCCCTCCTGTGATAGTAGCAACAACCCTACACTGTGGAAAGAGGGAAATGGCAGAGGACAACATGTTACTTCAGAGTCATGGGCTAGTCATGGGCAGCATGAATAACATTGGTTCTGAACCTCAGAAGGAGAGAGCATTTTGATTCTGTACACTTTTATGCACATGATGAGTTATCTACTTCTATACTGTATGACATACCAGCTGGTAAAGATGCATTGCATTTGATGCAGGGATCCCCAAAAGTTTGAACTGGTCCAAGCCAAGCTGAAGTTATCCTTCATACAATGAGAAGGATCCAGCCTGATGAATCTGCTGGTCTTATTAGAATCTGCGCATCTCAGTCAGCCCATGCACAATGAATGAGTGGGAGGTGGGAAGGAAATGTAAACACAGAGAGAAGAGGCTGGCTCCATCCACTGTGCCTGCCATGAGAAGAATCAAAAAGGCAAGGGGGAAATGGAGCTCAAAGCAAAAGAACAAGGGAAGGTGACCAGCAGATGAAAGGGAGGAGTTCCTCATTCGCCAGTGCTGTCCTTCATGTCCCCAAATCAGACATAGGGATTGAATAAACTTCTGTCTGACCTGGTTACCTTGAGGGTAAGAAACGGCAGCTTCCCAAATTCTCAATTTCAACTGAGCCTTTTTCTTAAAAATGTTTGTCAAATTGGTTTTAAACACACACATACAAACAAATGGTGGCAAGTGCTGGTCTTTCTTTTTCCAGAGATGCCCCTGTTCTGACATGCCAAACTTTCCTGCTGAGGGCAAACTCGTGTTGCTGGATTACATGAATCTTGTGTTTCGAGCCTGCAACCTGCATTGCTTCACATACTCCCAGAACCAGAACTAGGAAATGTTAACTGTTTGGACGTCAAGTCCCAAAATTTCCTAGACAACTTCGGCCACTGGCCAAGGGTGGCTTTGGAATCCTGATCATTGAAGTCCAAACCAGTAGCTTTCCAGGCTCTACCATAAACTTTCATCACTGTTTATCAGATTTCTCTTTTCTTAACCATTGCAGAGAAAAGCAGATTTCTTGACTGTTTTCAGCTCTGTACCCTGTTCGTGTTTACCCAGAAGCAAATGACCCCTGCAGGGTTAATGTGTAGTTTTCTCATAATTCCGCAACCACAGGCCTGGTGGCTCCATGGCTGCAAACAGGATGCTCCAGGTGCGTACGGACAGAACTTTGCCAAGAGAGTATCACTCACTTTTGTGTCTGCCAAGGTGGGGATGGGATGAGGATTCAGCCCGTGGGGTGGCTCCCGCACCCACCCCCGAGTCAAAGGCAGAGAGAATTAATGCCAGGCACTCACTGTAAGTCAGCAGCACTGTCAATTTTCAGGAAGTCCTGTTTGGCTCTGAGTAAAATGTCAGGTTCTAGTCTGAGGACAAATGGGAGGTGGAAGGCCACAGCCGAGATCAAGACAAACAGACAGACAGGGAGAAAAAGAGACAGATGAGGAGATGGTGGAAGAAAAGGATGAGAAGAAAAAGAAAACACTAGCATTAATACAGAAACCAACACCAGAAACAGAAGACACTATACAGGTGTAGTCACCACCAATGGGATCCAAAAGAGAACAAGTACTATATGTCCAGGTTAGATATCATGACCAAACCAGGATGGGCCCTCGGGAAGCTTAGTGGTCCTGGAGATGCACATTTGCAGTGGCCAAAGCATGGCTTGTCTGTGACATATGAACTGGGCTATCATCTTTCCATACTGTCTCTCCTCTCCAGTACTGATTTTTAAAAAAGTACAGGCAACTATGGCCACACAGAACTAGAGGAAACCCAGATACAGTGGTGCCTTGCATCACGATCGCTTCATTTAACGACGAAATCACATTACAATGAACTTTTTGTGATCCCTTTTGCGATCGCAAAACGATGTTTCCTATGGGGGAATTTCACTTTGCGATGATCTGTTCCCTGCTTCGGGAACCGATTCTTCGCAAAACGACAATTTTCCAACAGCTGATCGGTGGTTTCAAAATGGCCACCAGGTAAATAAAATGGCTCCCCGCTGTGTTTAGGGACGGATTCCTCGCAAGACAGGCAGCAAAAATGGCTGCCCTATGGAGGATCTTCACTAGACGGTGAGTTTTAAGCCCATCGGAACGCATTAAACAGGATTTAATGCGTTTCTATGGGCTTTTTAATTTTGCTTTATGATGTTTTCGTTCTACAGCAATTTCGCTGGAACGAATTAACTTTGTAATGCGAGGCACCACTTACTTTATTTGTCTGTTGATAAAGTAAGTTATGTCCAAAGCAATCTGAAAACCTCAAAGGACCCAAGACAGAACAGTCATAATGTAAAACTAACAGTTGTACATACATACTGTACATACATACCGATGCACACATACCCATGTTGTTGGCATATGTGCAATTCTTAGCTGTTGTCTCACTTCTTCTAACTGCTACTCTATTGCAAAGTAGGTTTACGCGTCTAATACCTCTCTGGACAACCAAATTTCATCAATCCATTCCCAGATTGGGACCACAAAGAATTCTCTTTTGTGTTCTTGCCCCCTGTCCTCTCCCTCATATGCTCTTACTCACCCATTTTCCCTTGTTCTCAGGCTCTCCCAACAATCCTTCCCTCCTCTTGAGGGCAGAAGAAAAAAAAAAAGAGAGACAGAAGGACATCCGGAGTGGGCGATGAAGTGCCAGCAACTTACTTCACATCCTGGCTGATCTGTCGCTCCAGCCGCTGGCGCCTCTCTTCCAACTGTTCAATGGGGCTGTCTTCAGGGAATTCATAGGGGGCGCTCCGCATTTCACTCTCCGCCAGAGAACGGCAGAACAGCTCCTGCAGGCACAGCAGCACAATGGTGCAGGATACCCAACATGGGGATGGGGAGGCAAGCATACTAGAGGGCAAGCCCTTGACAAGCAGCACTGGCGAGTGGAGCAGAGTAGGCAGGATCCACTGGAAGCCTCAAAGAAGAAATCTGTTAAGGGTTGAATCCTGCATCTGCACCAGTGAAAGCAATGTGACTGGATGTGCAAGGGTGATGGGATCGACGTCATGATGCTGTCTTATTGAGACAGAACTTGAGAGTGCTGGTTTTATTTTATTTTTTGGACTACAGTTCCAGAAATCCTCCTTCCCACATTGGATTCTGGGGCTTGTAATACCAAAAGGTAATATTTCCAGGCTCTGCATTTAGGACGGGAATTCTCATGAAAATAAACATTGCAGTGACTCACAATAGCTCCAGCAAGGGCTACTTGATGAATCTCACTGCTGATTGTTTCTGTTCCCCCAGGTCATCAAGAAGTACATTAATGATTAACAAGGCCCCACCTGCTGCTGCCCATCTCCAGATGCTTCTGACACAGATGTGTCAATATATAAAAAAAATTACACCTGCACTACTATTAAAGAGGCCTTACCTGCTTCCCAAGTCAAATAAAATCTTCAGATTATTGAGTCCAGTACACTGCTATCTTTCCCTACCAATGCCCAAATATTCTGCCTCTTTGCTTAATGCTGTTTATCACATAAAATTATTAATGACTGCATATTACAGAACTGCTTACAAGTCTGCTGTGGCCCACAAGATGCTGTTAGACTGCAATCCCCATCATCCCTACTTGGCATTGCCAGTGGTAAGGGATATTAGGAGCTGCAGGCCAACAGCATCTGAAACTCCACGTGTCAATCACTTCAGCAGTGAAAACATGACATCGAAAGTACGTAAGCTTGGGAGTTTCTAATCCACTGTCTTTCCATAGGGTTTCTTTGGTGCACATAGGACATTTATGCATTGCAGATATTATGGTTCTAGTGGTTCAATAATAAGCCAACAAGTTATATCAATTAGAAATATCAGAAGGGTGAATCCTCCACAAGTTCCAATGGTTCAATGGATCTACTCTAGTTGTGATGCACTGCTGGATTTCAGACATTGAATCACAGAATAACAAGGTAAGGAAAATTGCAAAGTTGGGCCATAAGTCTCTATGAAGGAGCTGCTATAATGTTCTTACTAGTGGTTGGTTTATTTACCTCTTACATTTACAGTACATGTTACTTTTCTTCCAGTGAGTTCAAGGCAGGGCACAGGGATCTCCCCCTTCTCATTCTCTCCCCCCCCCCAAACAACCCTGTGAGGCAGGTTAGGCTGCCAAGTGTGACTGGCCTGAGATCACCCAGTGTCTTCCCCATACAGTGGGGAGTTGAACCTTGATAACCAAGTCCCAAACAAAGACTTTAACCACGTACCACACTGGCTTTTTTTACCCTTTCTCACTTCAAACATACCATATTTTTCCGTGTATAAAACGATACTTTTCCCTAAAATAATTAGAGGAAAATTTGAGTGTTGTTTTATACACTCGTGGTGGCGCTGTGGGCTAAACCGCAGAAGCCTGTGCTGCAGGGTCAGAAGACCAGCAGTCGTAAGTTCGAATCCACGTGACGGAGTGAGCGCCCGTCACTTGTCCCAGCTCCCGCCAACCTAGCAGTTGAAAAGCATGCAAATGCGAGTAGATTAATAGGGACCACCTCGGTGGGAAGGTAACAGCGTTCCGTGTCTAAGTCGCACTGGCCATGTGACCACGGAAGATTGTCTTTGAACAAAACGCTGGCTCTGTGGCTTGGAAACGGGGATGAGCACCGCCCCCTAGAGTCGAACACGACTGGACAAAAATTGTCAAGGGGAACTTTTACCTTTACCTTTATACTCGGAAGGAAGCAGTTTCACGCGCATTCGGGCACCTCTTGCTGCTGCCCCTGCTGCCCAATTGCCTCTTCCAGAGCTCACGGAAGGTGGCCCCTCCGGTGGCCCCAAGGCAGCAGCAGCAGCAGGAGGTGGAGGTGAAGGAGCATTCACACGCGCCCGGCGTCTCTTGCTGCTGCCTTCCCCGCCCGCCCAGTCACCTCCTCCAGTGGGACTGATGGGCTCAGTTCACGCCGCCTTGTCTCCTCCAGTGGCGGACGCAGGAGCAGAGGCAGAGGTGGAGGCAAACAAGAATTTGCGCATGCTCGGGCACCTCTCCCTGCTGCCGTCGCCAGATCACCTCCTCCCACGATCTCCTCAGGGCAGGGGACAAGGCAGCGATGACGTGAGCTGGAGGTGAGCCCCGGCAGCTGCACTGGAGGAGGTAATCAGGCGGGCAGCGGAGACAGCAGCAGCAGGAGATGGAGAAGTTGCCCATTAACTGCTCTTCCGCCTCCATCAAGGGTCAAAACTAGGGGGTTCATTTTATACAATGGGGGGGTCATAAAATATGGTAAATAATTTCTACACTGGCTCCAAACCATGAAGCCATTTATTTAGGGGGAGCCTCTTCTTGTCACAGTGTTACCACCAGCATGCACGAAAAGCTCTGACTGAACAGGTCCCAGATTTGCTATGTGTTTTGCCCTACTACAGTCAAAGAGCCCCAAGCACCCTGTAACTGCACACAGAGAGGCAACCAGAGAAGTGCTGAGTCAGGCTGGCCCTGCAAGGATTTCCCCTAATAAATCAGACAAGCAATCCAATTACTTAACCTGCCATTCAGTTGAAAGAAATGAAATTTCAATTAATTCGCGTGGGACCCAATTCTTGAAACTCTGCCTGTGCTAAAAGCTGTACTCACTCTTGTAAAGTAACTAATGGCAGAAAGCCAAAGCATTTATGCCAGCTATTATAAAAGAAACACTCTCTTTCACTTGTACTTAAACGTCAGCAATAGCAGAATAACTGGTGAAATAAATAGAGCATGCATGTGTTTTGGTGTGTTATTTGTCATCAAGTCAAATCTCACTTACAGTAACCCCAAATTGGCTTTCAAAATATATGGAATAGTTAAAGGAGTGATTTTACCATTGCCATCATCTCTCAGGGATTTGAACCCAGGTCCACTGAATCCTAGTTCTATCTACTATTCCACATTAACTGTCACAAACAGAGGAGGACAATATGGCAACAACCCACCACACACTGCTGTATCCAATGAACTGTGGACCCTCTGGGTTCTTCCAGCTAGGAAATGCACTCAAAGCAGGCAAGAGCACATCCAGACATGGAGTCTGGCCAAAGCATTCCTGTAGCTATTCTCCCTGAAGAAGACCCAGCTCACACTTGCGGAAGAGCCCAAGCACCTCTTGCCAGATGTTAGCAATGTATTCTGGCTGCTGCTTGAAACTGGATCTCCCCAAACAACAAAAATGTGCACCTCCTCTCCCATCACTATCAGGACAGTTCATCATTTTGTTGCAATTCCAGATAGCATTCTAAGCCAGGAGTCTAGAGTTTGTGACTCACCAGGTTATGTTGTACTGCAAACCTCATTTACCTTTGCCAGCATCACCAGCAGTGAAAGATGATGGGAGCTGAAGCGCAGCACCATTTGGAGGGCCATAGATTCTCCTCTCCCGTTCTGAACAGTCCGAAGGAGAGTTCTGCATACACGGGTCAGACTCAGGTAATCTTTCAGGTCAGATTTAGGCTAATGCAGGTGTGTGTGCCAAGCATACCCAGCTATGGTATGGGAGCAGACCCTCAAAACAGAGCACAGCCCTAATCCCAGATGAGAAAACTCATGTGGTTTAGCAATGAATACACACCCACCCAAGTGGACAAGACGAGTAGCATTAATCTCAACACAATCATAGGCCTACCTCAGAGGTGGGCAACTGTGGTCATCCAGAGGTTTCTAGACTATAACTACCATTAATTCTTATCAGCATAACGTCTAAAAGTAAGAAATTAAAAGTACTGCAGCCTCAAACATCTAGACCAGTGATTCCCAATCTTGGGTAACCCAGATGTTCCTGGACTGCAGCTCCCTGAAACCAAAGCCAGCCCAACTGATGGTGAAAGTTTCTAGGAACAGCAATCCAAGAACATCTGGGTTACCAAAGAGTTGGAAACCACTAACCATTCCAGAGGACACCCTGTCCTACTTTGACTTCATAACATCATTAAACCTTCACAATTTCAACTGGTATACAAATATTATAGAAGC